GATATGAATATGAATTTTGTTTTGGAGATTCTTCTGGAGATTTTTTTCTGCATTCATTGAGATATCATATGAGTCTGATAAATAATAACATTAATAACAGTATCTATTGTATTCTCACATTGTGGGTGCCTTTTTTGTTTTAATGGGGAAACAAAATTTGAGTCACCCTGTATAAGCATGATAAACGTTTAATCAAAATATATTTACTTATCCCCTCCAAACAATTGATGACGTCAGCACAAAATTTTGCCTAATAAATTCTACCCAAAATGTGCACAATATGATGAGTTTTTACTTGTGATTTATCATTGCATTCATAGTTTTTAGATTTGCCCCCTATTTCCTCAGAGGGTATGTCATTTGCCAAAATTAGTCTTATCTTAACAAGGACTAGCCCCGCCCACCCGCCCTCTATTTTCTTGGATTATATGGCATCTGCCAAAATCAGTTTTATGTTAACAAGTACTAGCCCCGCCCACCCACCCCCTGTTTTCTCACACGATCATCTGATTTGCCAAAATCAGTCTTATCTTAGCAAATACTAGCATTTTGGCAAATGACATACGTTTTAAGAAAAGCGAGGATGGGTGGGCGGGGCTAAATAGCTACTAAGATAAGATTGATTTTGGCAAATGACATATCTTCTGAGAAAATAGGGGGCGGGTGGGCGGGATACTTGGTAAGATAAGACTAATTTTGGCAAATAACATGCCTTCTGATAGAGTAGGGGCGGGTGGGCGGGCCTTGTACTTGCTAAGTTAAAACTTATTTTGGCAAATAACATACCCTCTGATAAAGTAGGGGGCGGGTGGGCGGGCCTAGTACTTGCTAACATAAAGACTGATTTTACCTCTTGTAAACATTTGTTAAATTTGAAGGGTGTTAAATTGAAAAATTCCATAGTAAGTTAAATTCTTAAATCTGATTGAGTGTTTATTGTTTGTTTCATTCTGCTTCAGAAGCGCAGGAAGTTCTGTTGAAATTCGAACAAATTTTTTAAATTTTATATTAACAATTGTTCCATTTTTGTACATATTTCAATTTTTCGACTTTTAGATTTTTTAATTTTTCCTCTTTCCAATTTTAGACGTTTCAGTTTCTCGATTTTTCAGTTTGTGGATTCTTCAAATTTTCGATTTCTCGATTTTTTATTTTTCGGTTTCTCGATTTTCCAATATTTCAGTTTTTCGATTCTTCGAATTTTTTGATATATCAATATGTCAATTTTTGAGTGTTTATTGTTTGTTTCATTCTACTTCAGAAGCGCGGGAAGTTCTGTTGAAATTTGAACCAATTTTTTAATTTTATATTAACAATTGTTCCATTTGTGTGTATATTTCAATTTTTCGACTTTTAATTTTTTTGATTTCTCGATTTTTTTAATTGTAGGTTTTTAAATTTTTCGATTTCTAGTTTTTTGATTTTTAGTTTTCGGTTTTTTAAATTTTGTATTAACGATTTTTTCATTTTTCGATTTTACCATTTTTTTTTTGTTTCGAATTCCCGATTTTAAACTTTTTAGTATGTATGTACATACATTGTATTTCAATTTTTCGCGTTCCTTTGATTTTTTTACTTTTCTATTACCCAATTTTTTTATTATTTGATTTTTCTACTTTTTAATTACTAGATTTTTCAATTTTTCTATTTCTCAATTTTCGATGTTTCACTTTCAGGATTTTTCGATATTTCGATTTTTTAATTTTTCGATTTTTCAATTTTTCGATTCTTCAATTTTTCGGTTTATATATTTTTCAATTTCGATTTTATAATTAATCCTATTTAAAATGTGCAAAATATGATCAGTCTATAGTCGTAATTTGTTAATGCATTCATATTTTTTAGATTTGCTTATACAGGGTGACACAAAAAAATTAATGAATCAATCAAACAATTTATTTTATTGAATAAATCGGGAATTGCAAAAATTATACAATACTTTGCAATCTTACAGACGTTTTAAAGTTATTGGAAGCATGTAACCAAAATATATCTGTTTATTACCCCCAAGAAATTGATGACGTCGTCCCAAAATTTTGCCGAATAAATTCTACCCAAAATGTGTGATTTATCATTGCATTCATATTTTTTAGATTTGCCCCCTATTTACTTAGAGGATATGTCATTTGCCAAAATTAGTCTTATCTTAGCAAGGACTAGCCCCGCCCACCCGCTCTCTATTTTCTTGGAGGGTATGGCATCTGCCAAAATCAGTTTTATCTTAACAAGTACTAGCCCCGCCCACCCACACCTTGTTTTCTCACACGATCATCTGATTTGCCAAAATCGGTCTTATCTTAGCAAATACTAGCATTTTGGCAAATGACATATCCTTTGAGAAAATAGGTGGCGGGTGGGCGGGGCTAGTACTTGATAAGATAAGACTTATTTTGGCAAATAACATGCCCTCTGATAAAGTACGGGGCGGGTGGGCGGGCCTAGTACTTGCTATTTTAAAAGTTATTTTGGCAAATAACATTCCCTCTGATAAAGTAGGGGGCGGGTGGGCGGGCCTAGTACCTTGCTAAGATAAGACTTATCTTGGCAAATAACATACCCTCTGAGGAAGTAGGGGGCGGGTGGGCGGGGCTACAACTTGCTAAGATGAAGACTGATTTTGCCTCTATTATTTATCTTGTAAAAACTTGCTAAATTTAAAAGGTGTTAAATTGCAAATTTCCATAGTAAGTTAAATTCTTAAATCTGATTGAGTGTTTAGTGTTTGTTTCATTCTACTTCGGAAGCGCGGGAAGTTCTGTTGAAATTTTAACCAATTTTTTAATTTTATGTTAACAATTGTTCCATTTGTGTATATATTTCAATTTTTCAGCTTGTAATTTTTTTGATTTCTCGATTTTTTTATTGTAGATTTTTCGATTTATCGATTTCTAGTTTTTGATTTTTGGTTTTCGATTTTTTAAATTTGATATTAACGATTTTACCATTTTTCGATTTTACGTTTTTTTTTTGTTTCGAATTCCCGATTTTAAACTTTTTAGGATGTATGTACATTGTATTTCAATTTTTCGAATTTAAAAATTTTCCGACGTTTCATTTTCTTGATTTCCCCATTTTTCAAATTTTCGATTTCTCAATTTTTCAACATTTTAATTTTGGAAATTTTTGAAAGTCTCATTTTTTCAATTTTCAACTTTTAAAAGTTTTTCATTTCTCGTTCTTTTGGTTTTCCGGTATAATCTTCGACCAATTTTGATATGGATATGAATTTGTTTTGGAGATTCTTCTGGAAATTTTTTTCTGCATTCATTGAGATATCATGAGTCTGATAAATAATAACATTAATAACAGTATCTATTGTATTCTCACATTGTGGGTGCCTTTTTTGTTTTAATGGGGAAACAAAATTTGAGTCACCCTGTATAAGCATGATAAACGTTTAATCAAAATATATTTACTTATCCCCTCCAAAAAATTTATGACGTCAGCACAAAATTTTACCGAATAAATTCTACCCAAAATGTGCACAATATGATGAGTTTTTACTTGTGATTTATCATTGCATTCATAGTTTTTTGATTTGCCCCGTATTTTCTCAGAGGATATGTCATTTGCCAAAATTAGTCTTATCTTAGCAAGGACTAGCCCCGCCCACCCGCCCTTTATTTTCTTGGATTATATGGCATCTGCCAAAATCAGTTTTATCATTACAAATACTAGCCCCGCCCACCCACCCCCTGTTTTCTCACACGATCATCTGATTTGCCAAAATCAGTCTTATCTTAGTAAATACTAGCAAACTGGCAAATGACATACGTTTTAAGAAAAGTGAGAATGTGTGGGCGGGGCTAATAGCTACTAAGATAAGATTGATTTTGGCAAATGACATATCCTCTGACAAAATAGGGGGCGGGTGGGCGGGATACTTGGTAAGAAAAGACTAATTTTGGCAAATAACATGCCCTCTGATAGAGTAGGGGCGGGTGGGCGGGCCTAGTACTTGCTAAGTTAAAACTTATTTTGGCAAATAACATGCCCTCTGATAAAGTAGGGGGCGGGTGGGCGGTCCTAGTACTTGCTAAGATAAAGACTGATTTTGCCTCTATTATTAATTTTGTAAAAACTTGTTAAATTTAAAATGTGTTAAATAGCAAATTTCCATAGTAACAAGTTAAATTCTTAAATCTGATCTAGTGTTTATTTTTTATGTTTCATTCTACTTTAGGAGCTCGGGAAGTTGTGTTGAAATTTGAACCAATTTTTTAAATTTTATATTAACAATTGTTCCATTTTTGTAGATATTTCAATTTTTCGACTTTTAATTTTTTTCGTTTCTCGATTTTTTTAATTGTAGATTTTTCGATTTGTCGATTTCTAGTTTTTTGATTTTGGTTTTCATTTTTTTAAATTTAATATTAACGATTTTACCATTTTTCAATTTTACGTTTTCTTTTTGTTTCGAATTCCCGATTTTAAACTTTTTAGTATGTATGTAATTTGTATTTCAATTTTTCGAATTTAAAAATTTTTCGACTTTTCAATTTTTCAATATTTTAATTTTGGGAATTTTTCAAAGTATCATTTTTTCAATTTTCAATTTTTAAAAATTTTTAATTTCTCGTTTTTTCATTTTTTGGTTTTTCGGTTGTTCGATTCGACGAGGGAAGTTTAATAAGCGTTTAATCAAAATATATTTACTTATCCCCTCCAAAAAATTGATGACGTCAGCACAAAATTTTGCCGAATAAATCCTACGAAACCAAATACTTTGATTTCAAATTAAATTACAAAATGTTGTTTTACAAATTTTGATTTTTTTTCCAAAAATCTGGACGTTTCGGATAAAAACTCAATACGGAATCATAAACTACATATATTAGACGGACAGACAGACGGAAACGGGAGGCTTATTTCTTTGTACCTATTGTATATAACCTATAGTTGAAATGTAGTTAAATATATTATGATAAAAAGTAGTTTCAACAACACTGCAGATAACTCTCCGATGAAATCGCAAACCTCTCAAAGACCCTCATTCACAGGTGCCGTCAGCAACGACCAAGACCTCGAAGACTTCATCGCCAGCGTGTCCGTCCCTCCACCCACACAAAAAGTGACCCCCGCCATCGAACTAACCCCCGAAGAAATCATGTCGTACATCATCCCCCCACCCCCGCAGATCCCAGAAGGCTTCGAAAACTTGACAATAAACGACGATGACCCCGGCACGCCCTCTTGCTGCAACGGCGTCAAGCGCCGCAACAGCAACTGCAGCGTGAAGTCCAACATCATAGAGTACGCAACAGTCGACCGAAAAGGTGCATTCTCGTGCTGCGCCAAATTGCGAGCCGACAAAGCCAAGGAAGAAGCGATCCATCCGCTACCGAGGCGCAGCTCCGACGAGAAGCCTCCAGAACGACCGCCGAAGAACCTTCCGCAGGAGCGCCAGAGGTCGCACTCGCTGACGGCCTCCATCAAACCGAGTGACTTAGTACCACCCAAACTGCCGCCGCGGATGGACGGCAACCACCAGGCGCCGCCGCACCTGTTCCTGCCGCCGAAGAAACCGCCACTGCCACCAGTACCGCCGTTGGAGGTACTCCGACAGAAGAAAAGCGTGGCGCAACCGCCGAAGGTGACTACGGAAGGGCGGACGGCGGGGATCGGATCGCCCCACCTCCAAAGGAACAAGAACATGTATAGCGACTTGGAGGCGGGGTTCGGGGAGCATGGAGAGAAAGTCGAGAAGGGGGAAAAGGGGGAGAGGTTGACGGTGAGGCCAACCACCGCCGTTAGCACGCCGACGTCACCGCACTTAGGTGGTTTATGACTTAAGTACGATAATAATAATGATGATTGTGGTTGTTTGTAGGCCGCGGAGCCCAATTAACAGCCGTCCCTATACTTTCACCAGATGGTCCAACGTGTTCGCGTACCATCAGCCAAACCCAGACGGAAGCTGGGGCGTCGTCCTCGCGGGACGGCGTTCAAGAGCCCAAACTTGATAAAGAGTACCAGAAGAACGGATCCGCGTTAAAAAATGGGTGCACTTCGACGAGGGAACTGCTTCTAGCGAAAACGGACGTAGCGATGGCCAGTCTGCTGGTGCGGTTGGACCAGGTGGCGGCGCAGTGCACCGCCGCGCAAGTCCACGGGGGCGGCAGACTCATCAGCGAGGAGAAGTTCCAGGTAAGGTCCTTCAAAAAAGTTCATTTGATTAAAAATTAATGTAAAACAGGTTTGGTGTCGAAGTCCATCAATAAATTTGGTGTCTTCGTGTTGGTAATACGGATACTCAAAGAAAGTGAGGTTATGTTCAGATATTTGAACTAATAATACCAACAGTAGAAACCATGTTACACTAAAAAAGCACAATAACATCGTTGCTAGAAATGTCAGTGAATAAAAAAGATTTGTTTTAATCATTTTTTTTTTAATTGCCTTAATTTTAAACAAATACATTTATTTTACTATAAAACATTTCAACAAAATCATTTGTTCTAATCTTATTCAAAATTTTGAGGTTATGATAGCATAATGTTGTTCTCAAGTTGTTCTTGTCGTCCAGTTAGTTCAAATTTAAACCCAAATATGGCGCGATTGCAAATTTTTAAATTTTCTAAGTTTTTAAGGAAACTACGACTGTACTAAATAACATGTACTTGCTAATTTACTAAAAAAAGTATATCTTAACTACTATCTAGAGTTTCCAGTTTTTATTTTTTCTACTTTTCGATTCCTTAATTTTTCGGTTATCTAATTTTTTTCTTTGTTTTTACATTTTTTTATTTTTTAGTGTTCTGTTTTTATAATTTTTTTGTTTTTTCAATTTCAATTTTTTCAATTTTTCGTTTCTTCAATTTTTTGGGTTGCAATTTTTGAGTTTTTCATTCTGTTTGTTCCTTGAATCTTTTTAATTTTTTTAGTTTTTCGATTTGCCAACATTTGAATGTTTCAGTTTGCAGATTTCGGATTTTCTCGAATTTTCAATTTTTCGATTTGGAAATTTTTCGTGCGGTTTTTATTTTTATTTTTTCTGTTTTTCTTTCTTTACTTGAATTTTTCGTGTTTCAAGTACAAAATTTTTCAGCTTTTCAGTTCCAATTTTTGAATTTTCCAGTTTTTTGGTATTACATTTTTCAATTTGAATTTCCCCAATTTTCAATTTTTAATTTTACAATTTTTCAGTTTTAATTTTTTTTAATTTTTCGATTTGCAATTTATCGTTTATTTTCTTTATTTTCTCAATTCTTCGGTTTTTCAATATTCTGATTTTATTTCTCGTTTGTTTTTCAATGTAGAATTATTCAATTTTTAAACTTTTTTAAGTGTTTTAATTTTTTTTGTTTCTGTAATTAGATTTTGCAATTTTTATATTTTTTTTTGTTTTTTCAATTTCAAATTTTTCAATTTTTCGTTTCTTCAATTTTTTGGGTTGCAATTTTTCAATTTTTCGTTCTGTTTGTTCCTTGAATCTTTTTAAATTTTCTAGTTTTTCGATTTGCCAACATTTGAATGTTTTAATTTGCAGATTTCGGATTTTCTCGAATTTTCAATTTTTCAGTTCTTCAATTTTTCGATTTGGAAACTTTCCGTGTCGGTTTTTATTTTTATTTTTTCAATTTTTCTTTCTTGACTTGAATTTTTCGTGTTTCAAGTACAAAATTTTTCAGATTTTCAGTTCCAACTTTAGAATTTTCCAATTTTTTGGTATTGCATTTTTCAATTTGAATTTCCCCAATTTTCAATTTTTAATTTTACAATTTTTCAGTTTTAATTTTTTTCAATTTTTCGATTTGCAATTTATCGTTTATTTTCTTTATTTTCTCAATTCTTCGGTTTTTCAATATTCTGATTTTATTTCTGGTTTGTTTTTAATGTAGAATTATTCAATTTTTAAACTTTTTAAAGTGTTTTAATTTTTTTTGTTTCTGTAATTAGATTTTGCAATTTTTATAATTTTTTTGTTTTTTCAATTTCAATTTTTTCAATTTTTCGTTTCTTCAATTTTTTGGGTTGCAATTTTTCAGTTTTTCATTCTGTTTGTTCCTTGAATCTTTTTAAATTTTTTAGTTTTTCGATTTGCCAACATTTGAATGTTTTAATTTGCAGATTTCGGATTTTCTCGAATTTTCAATTTTTCAGTTCTTCAATTTTTCCATTTGGAAACTTTTCGTGTCGGTTTTTATTTTTATTTTTTCAATTTTTCTTTCTTGACTTGAATTTTTCGTGTTCCAAGTACAAAATTTTTCAGCTGTTCAGTTCCAACTTTTGAATTTTCCAGTTTTTTGGTATTGCATGTTTCAATTTGAATTTCTCAGTTTTCAGCTTTTAATTTTCAATAGTTTCAGTTGGCAATTTTTCGTTTCGGCGTTCTTTATTTGTACATTTTTTTTATTTTTCGGTGTTCCAATTTTATAATTTTTTGTTTTTTCAATTTCCATTTTTTCCACTTGCAGTTTTTCAATTTTTCATTTTTTGTTCCTTCAGTCTTTATCTTTTCGAATTTTCGTTTTTAATTTTTTCAGTTTTTCGATTTTCCAAGTTCTGGATGTTTCAATTTTTAGATTTCGAAATTTCCCCAATTTTCAATTTTTAATTTTACAATTTTTCAGTTTTTCATTTTTTTCAATTTTTCGATTTACAATTTATCGTTTATTTTCTTTATTTTCTCAATTCTTCGGTTTTTCAATATTCTGGTTTTATTTCTCTTTTTTTTTCAATGTGGGATTATTCGATTTTTCGGTTTTTCAATTTTTAGATTTTTTTAAGTATTTTCAATTTTTGCAATTTTTCGATTCTTTAATTATTCATTTCTTCAAACTTTGATTTTACAATTTTTCTTTTTTTCAATTTTAAGATTTTTTAAATTTTCGTTTTCTCCATTTTTTGATTTGCAATGTTTCTAATTTACATTTTAAATATGTAACCACTAATTATAATTTTTTTTAATTTCTCGCTTTTTCAGTTTTTCAGAATTGAACCAATTTTTAATTATTGAATTTAAAATGTAATATGGAAAAATTCCAAAATTAAACAATTGCAATACGAAAAATTGAAGAAAGAAAAAACGGAAAAATTAAAAAATCGGGAAAATGAAAAAATAAAATAAAAGAAATTGAAAAATTGAGGAACCGGAAAATTGAGAAATCCCAAAATTAAAAATCAAAGATTGAAAATTTGAAAAATTGAAAAAACGAAAAATCGAGATATGAAAAAATGTAATATGGAAAAATTGCAAAATTAAACAATTGCAAATCGAAATATTTAAAAATCCCCAAGTTGAGAAATTGAAAAATTGAAGGAATTAAAGTTGAAAAATCCAAAAATTCGAAAATTAAAGAAAGTGAAAAAACGAAAAAGTATAAAAATGAAAACTGAAAAATCTAAATACTGAAAATCAAGAACTTAAAAAATTGAAAATTCGAAATATCAAAAAAATTGATAAACTTAAAAATATAAAAATCAAAAAGGTGCAAAATTATAAAAATGTAAAGAAATTGAAGAAAGTAAAACTGGAAAATTTGAAACTCGAGAAATTAAAAGCTTGAAAAAATTAAAGTTGAAAAAACGAAATATTGTGATATGAAATTGGGAAAATTGAGGAAACAGAAAATTGAAAAATTAAAAATTCGAAAAATTGAAGAAGAAAAACTGAAAAATTTGGAAGTCGAGAAATTGAAAAATTGAAAAAATTAAAGTTGAAAAACCGAAAAATTATGAAATCGAAACATTTAAAAATGGGAAAATTGAAAAATTAAAGAAAACGAAAAAATATAAAAATAAGAACTTTGGAAATCTAAATAGTACTGGAAATCAAGAGAATTCGAAATATTAAGAATTGAGAAACTTAAAAATCAAAAAGGTGCAAAATCGAAAAAACGAAATATTGAAAATTAAACACATCGGAAAATCCGATAACTGAGAAATCCAAAAACTGCAAAATTGAAAAATTGGAAAACCGAGGAATTGAAAAATCAAAGACCAAAATTTTGAAAAACTGAGAAAACGAAAAATTGTGATACAAAATTGAGAAAATGAAAAATTAAAATCAAGAAATTGAAAAACGGAACGGAAAAAAATTAAAAATTGAGAAAGTGAAAAATAGCAATGTAAAACTGGTGTAGAAAAATTAGAACAATTGGAAATCCAAAAATTGAAGAAAGAAAAAACAGAAATCTGGAAGTCGAAAAATTGAAAATTGAAAAAATTAAAGTTGAAGAAACGAAAATAATGAAACTGAAACATTGAAAAATCTAAATACTGGAAATCAAGAACTTAAAAAGTTGAAAATTCGAAATATTAAAAATTGAAAACTTAAAAATCGAAAAGGTTTCGAAAAAACGAAACATGTATTGTAAAATCGAAATATTGAAATTTAAAGAAATTGGAAAAATGAAAAATAAAAATCAAGAAATTGAAAAATCGAGTACCTAATGAAAAAATGTAACATGGAAAAATCGCCGATTGAAAGATTAAAGAAAGGAAAAACCGAAAAACCTGTAAATCGAGAAGTTAAAAAACTGAAAAAATTAAAGTTGGAAAAACGAAAAATTGTGATAAAATTGGGAAACTGAAAAATCGAAATATGAAAAAGTGTAATATAGAAAAACTACAAAATTAAACAATTGCCAATCAAAAAATTGAAGAAAACAAAAACTAAAAAATGGAAAAATTGAAAAATTAAAGAAAATGAAAAAATTTAAAAATGAAAACTTTGAAAAATCTAGATACTGGAAATCAAGAACTTACAAATTGAAAATTCGAAATATCAAAGACAATAAAAATCGAAAAGGTGGAAAATTGAAAAAATAAAATATTGTAAAATGAAAATATTGAAAATTAAAGAAATCGGAAAATAGAATAACTAAGAAATCCGAAAATTAAATATTTGAAAAATGAAAAACAAAAATAAAAAAATTGAAAAATCGAAATATGAAAAAATAGTAAAATTAAACAGTTTCGAATAAAAAAATTGAAGAAAGGAAAAACTGAAAAATGGAAAATTGGAAAATAAAAATCAAAAAGGTGCAAAACTGAAAAAATGAAATATTGTAAAATCAAAATATTGAAAATTAAAGAAATCGGAAAATAGGATAACTGAGAAATCCAAAAATTAAAAATTGACTAAAGGAAAAACCGAAAATCTGGAAGTCGAGAAATTAAAAAATTGAAAAAACTAAAGTTGCAGGAAAAACTATGAAAGCGAGACATGGAAAAATTGAAAAATTAAACAAAATGAAAACACGAAAAACTGTAAAATAGAAACAAATAAAAAAACGAAAAATTATAAAATTGGGAATATAAATTTAAAAAATCAGGAAAATGAAAAATAGAAATAAAGAACTTGAAAAATGAAGGAAACAGAAAATGAAAAATCGAGAAATAAAAAAATATAAACCGAGGAGTTGAATAATCAAAAAACAAAGAAATTGAAAAATTAAGGAAACGGAAAATTGAAAAATCGAAAAATTAAAAAGTGGGAAACTGAAAAATAGAAATGAAAAAATGTAATATGGAAAAATTGAAAAATTCGGAAGTCGAGAAATTGTAAAACTGAAAAAATTTAACTTGAAAAAACGAAAAATTATGAAATCGAAACATTGAAAAATGGAAAAAAATTAAAAAGTGAAGAAAATGAAAAAACGAAAAAGAAAAAAATGAAATCAAGAACTTAAAAAACTGAAAATTCGGAAAATTAAGAATTGAGAAACTTAGAAATATAAAAATCGAAATATTGAAAATTAAAGAAATCGGAAAATAGGATAACTGAGAAATCCAAAAATTAAAAATTTGAAAAATGAAAAATAAAAATCAAGAAATTTAAAAATCGAGATATGAAAAAATGTAATATGGAAACATAGTAAAATTAAACAATTTCGAATAAAAAAAATCAAGAAAGGAAACACTGAAAAATAGAAAATTCGAAAATAAAAATCAAAAAGGTGCAAAATTGAAAAAATGAAATATTGTAAAATCAAAATATTAAAAACTAAAGAAATCGGAAAATAGGATAACTGAGAAATCCAAAAATTAAAAATTTGAAAAATGAAAAATAAAAATCAAGAAATTTAAAAATCCAGATATGAAAAAATGTATTATGGAAAAATAGTAACATTAAACAATTTCGAATAAAAAAATTGAAGAAAGGAAAAACTGAAAAATGAAAATTCGAAAATAAAAATCAAAAAGGTGCAAAATTGAATAAACGAAATATTGTAAAATCAAAATATTGAAAATTAAAGAAATCGGAAAATAGGATAACTGAGAAATCCAAAAATTAAAAATTTGAAAAATGAAAAATAAAAATCAAGAAATTTAAAAATCGAGATATGAAAAAATGTAATATGGAAAAATAGTAAAATTAAACAATTTCGAATAAAAAAATTGAAGAAAGGAAAAACTGAAAAATGGAAAATTCGAAAATAAAAATCAAAAAGGTGCAAAACTGAAAAAATGAAATATTGTAAAATCAAAATATTGAAAATGAAAGAAATCGAAAAATAGGATAACTGAGAAATCCAAAAATTAAAAATTGCAGAAAGGAAAAACCGAAAATCTGGAAGTCGAGAAATTAAAACAATTGAAAAAACGAAAAATTGTAAAATTGATGGAAAAGGAAAACGAAAAATTGTGATCCCAAAAATTTGGTCGATGATAAATAAATCCAGATTTTTCGAAAAACATTTTTTCGAAGACACGTATATCAATTTGGAATTTAAAATTACCATGATTATGATAACCTCAAAATGTTATAAAAGATCTAGATTTAAAAACCACATGTGAAGAAGTATCTTATTTTATCAAATTAAAATAGTATTTACTAACGTAAATTTTGGTTAGGGTCGGAGATTATCGGTGTAATAAAAATTCAGACAGACGGACGGACGGACGGAAACGGAAGTCCTATTTTTTCGTAGTCTACGGGTCACGAACCGTCGAGAAAACAGAAAAGTAGCCAGACGTCCAGTGGACAAATTTATAAATGCGCAGTTCGACCTCAAACCATTTTGGGAAAAATAGTACTAACAATGATAATTCCTCCAGATCGCGAAGGAAGAGCTCACCTCCCAGTCCCTCCAGCTCGTGAGCTCGAGCAAGATGCTCGTCATCGCAATGTCGGACCCGTCGCTGCCCGACCTGCCCGAGAACCTCGCCATCTGCCTCACCATCCTGCGCCGCCTCACCGAGCTCTCTCAAGATCTGACCAATCACACGACGGCCCCGCTGCAGACGCGCAACCTCATCCTCAAGGTCCACGACGTCACGGCGGCGTTCCGCTTCCTCATAACGGCCGACATCGACCGAAGTTCGCAGAAGAGCATCGAGGAGCACCTAGCGGCCCAAGCCGAGTGTCTGGCCACCGTGCTGGCGACGTTGTTGAGAAGCTTGCGGGTTTTTTCACCTTAAATCTTTCGTTCTAAGTTTAGTTTTGTACCTTTTTATGAATTTTTCTAGTCAGATGTTCGTAGTATTTTTATTTTTAGGGCACAATCAAATATCATGACCAAATAAAATCGCGCGATGTTATTATCAAATTGAAAAGTCTGAAGTTGTTGAATACTCTTTAAATTTGTGATATTGTATTAAATCGTTCGGTCGGTTGCGACGTTAGTTAGGGTGTTCCAAAGGGTATTAAATGAATGACAATTCTGTCCACAAGAGCTTTCGTTGTTTTTGTCTTCATGATTACCTAGTCAAAATCCAGTACAATAGATGGGTTTCAGTTACCTCTTCTATATGGGCTATAGATGTTGTATTTCTGTATATATTATTTATAGATGTTGATCACGGAGAAAATGTATATTTCTTGTTAATTTTTTTTTCTTTACTTAGGGTAGGGAGTTGTTTAATTTATTCGATTCGAAGATTTTAACTGCGTTGACGTTTAAGAATTGATTAGTAGTAAGTTCGTTCTAAATTTTATATGAATGGAATCAGTTCCAGTTGTTCTATACTATTTTTAGTTGTTTGGATCAATGTAAACTCTAATTATACCTAACATCAACTCTAACATATCCTCTGTATGTAACACAATACAATAAACAATAAAATCAAAATATTGGAATGTAAGCACCGTTTTTATTGACTTAAATTTTAAAATGATCAAGCAAACTCATCAACAGGGTAATGTCGTCTGATGTGGAGTGGTGACCTACCCTGTGAAGAAAAATCTTTTTTTAAATTCCTGGTTTAATCATCTACATGATGTTTCTAATATACGTACAAAATGTGAGAACAATCGGTCCAGTAGTTTTGGAGATTACGTGTCTAATAAAAATGGACACAGACACCAGACAGACAGACAAACGGAAACGGGAGACCACTTTTTTCATACTGTAAAGGTCATGACACGTCGAGAAAATATGAAAGTGGCAATTCGACCGATGGACTCGATTACTATACTTCCTTAGCTTAAATTTCACAAGATCAAATCCTATAATTTTTGAAAAATCTGGATTTCTTTACCTTCGACCATTATTAACTCATACCATAATTTTCCGATTTTGCTTTTTCTTCGATTTTACAATTTTTCGATGTCACAATTTTTTTTTTTTATTATTCAATTTTTCCAGTTTTTAGTGTTTCCGTTTCATAATTTGTCATTCTTCCAACTTTATTTTATTTTTTTTTTCACTTTTGTAATTTTTCGATTTTTCAACTTTTTAATTTTTCGACTTTACAATTTTTCGTCTCAGATTTCCGATTTTTCGATTTCTTTAATTTCCATTACTTCAATTTTACAGTTTTTGTTTTTTTTTATTTTGCACCTTTTCGATATTGAAGTTTCTCAATTTTAAAACCTTTCGACTTTTCAATTTTTTGTTTCTTCATTTTTTCAGTTTTTACTTCCAATTTTTAGTTCTTTGAGAGTTTTCCTTTTATATCTTTTCATTTTTACATTTTTGATTTTTCGATTTTTCAATTATTTTTATTCAAAAAATTGAAAAATCGAACATACCAAAACATGAAGCAACAAAAAAAAAGAAAAACTGGAAAATTACAAACCGAAAAATTGAAAGAATATGAAACTGAAAAATCTAAAATTGAAAAATAAAGAATTTGAAAAATCAAATGGTTGAAAAATCAAGAAACTGAAAATTTTCAAATTGAAAAAAGAAAAATTGTAGAACCAGGACATTGAAAAACTGAAAAATTTAAAAAAATAACGAAAAATTGGAAAATTAAGAAAATGAAAAACCGAAACGAAAAATTACAAATCGAAAATTTGACTAAATGAAAAATTAAAGAATCGAAAAATTGAAAATTCGGAAAATTTTAAATCGAATAAATGCAAAGTCTAAAAATTGAAGAAATAAGAACAATTAACAATTGTAAAATCGAATCATTGACAAAAGAAGAAAAAAAAAAAGAAAAAATAAAACGAAAAATTGAAAAGCGAAGACGGAAAAATTCGCAAGTTGGAAAATTGAAAAACTGAAAAAGTTGAACTTGAAAACTCGAAAAATTGCAAACTGCAAACCGAAAAATTGAAAGAATATGAAACTGTAAAAATCTAAAATTGAAAAATGAAAAATTCAAACATGTGGGGGTTAAAAAATCGAAAAATCGCAGACCAAACTAGTGAAAAATTTCACACTGAAAAAAAAAACTGAAAAAATAAAGAATAAAAAACCGAAACGAAAAATAACAAGTTCGAAATTTGAGAAATGAAAAATTAAAGAATCGAAAAACTTAAAAATTGAAAAATTAAATATTGAATAAGAAAAATTGAAAAAACAAGAAATTACAAATCGAAACATTGAAAAATTACGTCGACTTCCAAACATTTTAATTCTCTATTTTCGTCAATTTTTCGATTTGCAAAACTGAAAAATTAGTAAGAAAAATTGCATAATCTGAAAATTAAAAGTTGGAAAATTGAAAAACTGAAAAATTTAATCTTGAAAGCTCGAAAAATTGCAAATCTAAAACATGAAGAAACAACAAAAAAGAAAAACTGGAAAATTGCAAACCGAAAAACTGAAGACAACAGAAAATTGAAAGAACATGAAACAGGAAAAATCTAAAATTGAAAAAATGATAAATTCAAAAATCAAATAGTTGAAAAATCGAAAAATTGAAAAATCCTAAAACTGAAAATTTTCACATTGAAAAAAGAAAATTATAGAAGCAGGACATTGAAAAACTGGAAAATTGAAAAAATACCGAAAAATTGGAGAATTAAGAAAATAAAAAACCGAAATGAAAAATTACGAATCGAAAATTTGACGAAATGAAAAGTTAAAGAACCAAAAAATTGAAAATTCTGGAAATTTTAAATACAAGAATTGCAATCTAAAATAAATGAAAGAAATAGGAAATTTTAACTATTGAAAAAACAAAAAATTATAAATCGAAATATTGAAAAATCGAATAATTGACAAAATAAAGAAAATAAAAAAACAAAACGAAAAATTGCAAAGCGAAAACGTGAATAATTAAAATTAAAATTCGAAATTGAAAACTGAGAAATTCAAAAATCTAAGGGTTAAAAAATTGGAAAATCGCAGGTCGAAATATTGAAAAATTTCACATTGAAAAAAGAAAAATTATAGGTTCGTAACATTGAAAAACCGAAAAATTGAACAAAAAAATAAAAAACTGAAACGAAAGATAACAAGTCGGAAATTTGAGGAAAAAAAAAAGAAAGAATCGAAAAATTGAAAAACTAAAATTGAAAACTCGAGAAACTCAGTACGAAAAGTTGCAAAATTTGAAAATTAAAGAATTCAAAAGTTGGAAAATGAATTGAAAAACGGAAAAATTTAAACTTGAAAACTTGGAAAATGGCAAACCGAAAATCTGAAGAAACAAAAAAAATGAAAAATTGCAAACCGAAAAATTGAAGAAATGAAGAATTTGAAGAAAATAAAACTGGAAGAATTTTAAATTGAAAAAATTAATAATTCAAAAATCCAAATGAAATGCAAATGAAGAACAAATCGAAAAAATAAAGAAAATAAATAAACAAACAGAAAGTTACAAATCGAAAATTTGAAGAAAATTAAAGAATCGAAAAATTGAAAAATTAAAAACGGGAAATTTTTAATCGAGGAATTGAAAAAACAAAAAATTACAAATCGAGCCATTGAAAAATCGAATAATTGAAAAAAGTAAAGAAAACAAAAAACCGAAACACAAAATGCAAATCGAAAACCATCAATTTTTCGATTTTTCAAATTTTTAATTTTTCGACTTTTCAATTTTACGTCTCAGATTTCCGATTTTTCGATTTCCTTAATTTCCATTACTTCGATTTTACAATTTTTGTTTTTTTTTTATTTTGCACCTTTTCGATTATGAAGTTTCTCAATTTTAAAACCATTCGACTTTTCAGTTTTTTGTTTCTTCATTTTTTCAGTTTTTGACTTCCAATTTTTAGTTCTTTGAAAGTTTTCGTTTTATATCTTTTCATTTTTACATTTTTGATTTTTCGATTTTTCAATTTTATTGATTCAATAAGTTGAAAAATCGAACATACCAAAACATGAAGCAACAAAAAACAAGAAAAACTGGAAAATTACAAACCGAAAAATTGAAAGAATATGAAACTGAAAAATCTAAAATTGAAAAATAAAAAATTTGAAAAATCAAATGGTTGAAAAATCGAGAAACTGAAAATTTTTAAATTGAAAAAAGAAAAATTGTTGAACCAGGACATTGAAAAACTGAGAAATTTAAAAAAATAACGAAAAATTGGAAAATTAAGAAAATGAAAGACCGAAACGAAAAATTACAAATCGAAAATTTGACTAAATGAAAAATTAAAGAATCGAAAAATTGAAAATTCGGAAAATTTTAAATCGAAGAAATGCAAAGTCTAAAAATTGAAGAAATAAGAAAAATTAACAATTGAAAAATCGAATAATTGACAAAAGAAGAAAAAAAAGAAAAAACAAAACGAAAAATTCAAAAGCGAAGACGGAAAAATTCGCAAGTTGGAAAATTGAAAAACTGAAAAAGTTGAACTTGAAAACTCGAAAAACTGCAAACTGCAAACCGAAAAATTGACAGAATATGAAACTGTAAAAATCTAAAATTGAAAATTGAAAAATTCGAACATCTAGGGGTTAAAAAATCAAAAAATTGCAGACCAAACTAGTGAAAAATTTCACACTGAAAAAAGAAAAACTGAAAAAATAAAGAATAAAAAACCGAAACGAAAAATTACAAGTTCGAAATTTGAGAAATGAAAAATTAAAGAATCGAAAACTTGAAAAATTAAATATTGAATAAGAAAAATGAAAAATTGAAAAAACAAAAAATTACAAATCGAAACATTGAAAAATTAGAATTGACAACTCGATAAAAAACGAAAGAAAAATAAAAAATCGAAAAAATCGAAAAATTGAAAGAACGAGCAGAAACGTCAAAACTTAGGACGAAGGACGAAGGGGGAAGGACGAAAAGGACGAAAGACGAAGGGCGAAGGACGAAAAGGACGAAAAAATCGACTTCCAAATTTTTCAATTCTCTATTTTCTTCAATTTTTCGATTTGCAAAACTAACAATTTTTTTTAATTTTTAGATTTTGCAGTTCCTCAATTTTAAATTTTTCAATTAAAGAAAAATTAAAAATCGAAGAAATCGAAAAATTGAAAGAACGAGCAAAAACGTCAAAATCTAGGACGAAGGACGAAAAGAACAAAGGACGAAGGAGGAAAAGAACGAAAAAATCGACTTCCAAACATTTCAATTCTCTATTTTCGTCAATTTTTCGATTTGCAAAACTGAAAAAATAGTATGAAAAATTGCATAATCTGAAAATTCAAAAGTTGGAAAATTGAAAAACTGAAAAATTTAAAAAAATAACGAAAAATCGGAAAATTAAGAAAATAAAAAACCGAAACGAGAAATTACAAATCGAAAATTTGACTAAATGAAAAATTAAAGAATCGAAAAATTGAAAATTCGGAAAATTTTAAATCGAAGAAATGCAAAGTCTAAAAATTGAAGAAATAAGAAAAATTAACAATTGAAAAATCGAATAATTGACAAAAGAAGAAAAAAAAAGAAAAAACAAAACGAAAAATTGAAAAGCGAAGACGGAAAAATTCGCAAGTTGGAAAATTGAAAAACTGAAAAAGTTGAACTTGAAAACTCGAAAAACTGCAAACTGCAAACCGAAAAATTGAAAGAATATGAAACTGTAAAAATCTAAAATTGAAAAATGAAAAATTCAAACATGTAGGGGTTAAAAAATCGAAAAATTGCAGACCAAACTAGTGAAAAATTTCACACTGAAAAAAGAAAAACTGAAAAAATAAAGAATAAAAAACCGAAACCAAAAATAACAAGTTCGAAATTTGAGAAATGAAAAAATAAAGAATCGAAAAATTGAAAAATTAAATATTGAATAAGAAAAATGAAAAATTGAAAAAACAAAAAATTACAAATCGAAACATTGAAAAATTAGAATTGACAACTCGAGAAAAAACGAAACAAACATTAAAAATCGAAAAAATCGAAAAATTGAAAGAACGAGCAGAAACGTCAAAACTTAGGACGAAGGACGAAAAGGACGAAAAAATCGACTTCCAAATTTTTCAATTCTCTATTTTCTTCAATTTTTCGATTTGCAAAACTAACAATTTTTTTCATTTTTCGATTTTGCAGTTCCTCAATTTTAAATTTTTCAATTAAAGAAAAATTAAAAATCGAAGAAATCGAAAAATTGAAAGAACGAGCAAAAACGTCAAAACCTAGGACGAAGGACGAAAAGGACGAAGGACGAAAAGAACGAAAAAATCGACTTCCAAACATTTCAATTCTTTATTTTCATCAATTTTTCGATTTGCAAAACTGAAATATTAGTAAGAAAGATTGCATAATCTGAAAATTCAAAAGTTGGAAAATTGAAAAACTGAAAAATTTAATCTTGAAAGCTCGAAAAATTGCAAATCTAAAACATGAAGAAACAACAAAAAAGAAAAACTGGAAAATTGCAAACCGAAAAACTGAAGACAACAGAAAATTGAAAGAACATGAAACAGGAAAAATCTAAAATTGAAAAAATGATAAATTCAAAAATCAAATAGTTGAAAAATCGAAAAATTGAAAAATCCAAAAACTGAAAATTTTCACATTGAAAAAAGAAAATTATAGAAGCAGGACATTGAAAAACCGAAAAATTGAAAAAATACCAAAAAATTGGAGAATTAAGAAAATAAAAAACCGAAATGAAAAATTACCAATCGAAAATTTGACGAAATGAAAAATTAAAGAACCAAAAAATTGAAAATTCGGGAAATTTTAAATCCAAGAATTGCAAAGTCTAAAAATGAAAGAAATAGGAAATATTAACTATTGAAAAAACAAAAAATTATAAATCGAAATATTGAAAAAGCGAATAATTGACAAAATAAAGAAAATAAAAAAACAAAACGAAAAATTGCAAAGCGAAAACGCGAACAATTAAAATTAAAATTCGAAACTGAAAACTGAAAAATTCAAAAATCTAAGGGTTAAAAAATTGGAAAATCGCAGGTCGAAATATTGAAAAATTTCACATTGAAAAAAGAAAAATTATAAGTTCGTAACATCTAAAAACCAAAAAATTGAACAAAAAAAATAAAAAACTGAAACGAAAGATAACAAGTCGAAAATTTGAAGAAAAAAAATGAAAGAATCGAACAATTGAAAAATTAAAATTAAAAACTCGAGAAACTCAGTACGAAAAATTGCAAAATTTGAAAATTAAAGAATTCAAAAGTTGGAAAATTGAATTGAAAAACGGAAAAATTTAAACTTGAAAACTTGGAAAATGGCAAACCGAAAATCTGAAGAAACAAAAAAAAATGAAAAATTGCAAACCGAAAAATTGAAGAAATGAAAAATTTGAAGAAAATAAAACTGGAAGAATTTTAAATTGAAAAAAATAATTATTCAAAAATCCAAATGAAATTGCAAATCCAAAAACTGAGACTGAAAGTTTCAGTTTTTGGAAAAAAATAAAGAAAATAAATAAACCAAACAGAAAGTTACAAATCGTAAATTTGAAAATTAAAGAATCGAAAACAATTAAAATTGTAAATTCGGGAAACTCAGTTCCAAAAATTGCAAAATCTAGAAATTAAAAAATTTTGAACGTTAAGCGAAAAAACGGAAAGTGGATTTTTTTTGCAATGTAAAAGAATCTTGCGATCTCTGGTGTATTCTTGAAAGAATGTGTCTTCAAAATTTTGTGTCTTTTTGAAATAACTCGAAAAGATCTTGGGGTTTTTAGTGTTTTGTTTTTGAAAAAGTTTAAAAGAATTTCAAGCAGCAGTAGCGTAATAAAATCAAAATATTGGAATGTAAGCACCGTTTTTATTGACTTAAATTTTAAAATGATCAAGCAAACTCATCAACAGGGTAATGTTCCTTATATTTCTCTACGTGACTCTTCATTTGATTCATCTGTTGCCTGCAAAAAATTCAATCACGACTCTGTCATAAATAACACACGAACCGCTTACTTAATGTGTTCCGGCATGTATTTGTAAACATCTTCAAAACACTCGGTCCATTCGGGTTTGGGTTTCTTTTCACCAGCGACGAACGCTGTCATGACGTCTTGACGAGCTTTCTTGATGAATTCCTTTTCTTTTTCCTCGTTCCATAAACCCTTGTTGGTTAAGTATGTTTTAAACTTGACTGTGGGATTATCACTGCTGGTCCACTGATCCACTTCTTCCTGGCTTCTGTACGCTGTGCTGTCGTCTGATGTGGAGTGGTGACCTACCCTGTAAAGAAAAATCTTCTTTTAAATTCCTGGTTTAATCATCCACATAATGCTTCTAACATACATACAAAATGTGACAACAATCGGTCCAGTAGTTTCGGAGATTACGTGTCTAATAAAAATGGATACAGACACCAGACAGACACACAAACGGAAATGGGAGACCACTTTTTTCGTGCTCTAGAGGTCACGACACGTCGAAAAAATATGAAAGTGGCAATTCGACCGATGGACTCGATTACTACACATACTAAATCAAATCCTATAATTTTTGAAAAATCTGTAAGTAAGTAAGTAAGTAAGTAAGTAAGTAAGTAAGTATTTATTAATGACCGTTAGGGTACATAAGTCAAGTCAGATGAAATTACAATATAAAGAGTTTAAAATTATACAATTTACAAGATAATTCAAATCGAATGGTAAAAACTACACAGGACATCGCTACAATTTAAAAATTCATCGAGAGAGTAAAATGCGTTTTTTAATAAAAAATTTCTTATAGTACGGCTAAATTGCGAAAAAGGTAAGTTAGCAATACGTTTCGGTAATTTATTGAATAATTTGGGCCCATAATAATTGATGGCATTTCTACTTCTACCTACACGATAGAATTCGGTGTAAATGCTATGGGTAGATCTCGTGATTAATGACATATTTGTGAGATTATTATAAGTGGTGAGATTAGACTTCACATATAATAAAGCATATAAAATATAAAGACAGGGCACGGTGAGAATACTTTTTTCTTTAAAATAATTTTTAACACAAGCTCTGTAAGATAGACCTCCAATAATTCGAACTACTCGGCGCTGCAATTTAAAAACGGTTTTTAAATGACTGCTGTGGCCCCAGGTTATAATGGCATAGCTAAAAATACTTTGAAATAAAGAGTAGTATATCATCATAAGGATCTGCTCACTAACCTCATATTGCAAATTCCTAATAAGAAAAGTTGACTTGGACAATTTTTTACAGATATCAATGACGTGATTATCCCAGCATAATTTCGAGTCCAGTGTCACACCAAGAAATTTGACACACCTCGGATTTATTTACCTTCGACCATTATTTGATACCATAATTTTTCGTTTTTTTTTTTTCGATTTTACAATTTTTTGATAATTTTTGGATTTTTCGGCTCCTCAGTTTTTAATTTTTCGACTTTTCAATTTTTTTGTTTCTTCATTTTTTCAGTTCATTACTTTCACTTTTTGTTCTTTGAAAATTTTCGTTTTTACGGTTTTGATTTTTCAATTTTTTTGATTCGAAAAGTTGAAAAATCGAAAATTAGAAAAATCGGAAAACTAGAAAGTCGGAAAAACATGAAAAAGCGAAGAATTGCAAAATCAAAAAATGGAAAATCGAAAAATTTCAAATCGAAGCTTGAAGAACTGAAAATCGAGAAACATAAAACTTAAAAAAGGAATAATTGCAACTCGAAAACTTGAAAAATTAAAATTGAAAACTCGGGAAACTCAATATGAGAAATTGAAAAATTGAAAAATTCACAAGTTGGAAAATTGAAAAGTGAAAAGTTACAAAAATCTAGGGGTTAAAAAATCAAAAAATCGCAAATCGAAATAGTGAAAAACTTCACATTGAAAAAAGGAAAATTGAAAAAATAAAGAATAAAAAACCGAAACGAAAAAGAACAAGTCGAAAATTTGAAGAAATGAAAAACTAAAGAATCGAAACATTGAAAAATTCAAAATTCAAAACTCGAGAATAAACGAAGGAAAAATAAAAATCGAAGAAATCGATTCAAGGGACGAAGGACGAAAAGGTCGAAGGACGAAAAGGACGAAGGACGAAGAACGAAGGACGAAAAGGACGATGAACGAAAAGGACGAAGGGCGAAAAAGACGAAAAAATCGACTTCCAAATTTTTCAATTTTTCTATTTTCTTCAATTTTTCGATTTGCCAAACTGAAAAATTGTCCCATTTTTCGATTTTGCAGTTCCTCAATTTTAAATTTTTCAATTAAAGGAAAATTAAAAATCGAAAAAAACAAAAAACTGAAAAATTGAAAGAACGAGCAAAAACGTCAAAACCTAGGACGAAGGACGAAAAGGACTAAGGACCAAAAGGATAAAAGACGAAGAACGAAAAGGACGAAGGACAAAAAGCACGAAGGACGAAAAGGACGAAGAACGAAAAGGACAAGGGACGAAGAACGAAAAGGACAAGGGACAAAGGACGAAAAGGACAAAGGACGAAGTATGAAAAGGACGAAGGGTGAAGGACGAAAAGGACAAGGGACGAAAAAGACGAAGAACTAAAGGGAAGAAGGACGAAAAGGACAAAGGACGAAAAAGACGAAGAACGGAAGGGAAGATGGGCGAAAAAGACGAAGAACGAAATGGAAGAAGAACGAAAAGAACGGAAGGACGAAAAGGACGATGGACGAAAGACGGAAAGGACGAAGGACGAAAAGGATGAAGGACCGAAAAGGACGAAGGATGAAGAACCGAAAAGGACGAAGGACGACCAACGAAAAGGACGAAGGGGCTCTATTTTCTACAATTTTTCGATTTGCAAAACTGAAAAATTAGTACGAAAAATTGCAAAATCTGAAAATTTAAAAGTTGGAAAATTGAAAATTCGGGAAATTTTGAATCGAAGAATTGCAAAAACTAAAAATTGGAAAAGAAAAATGAAAAATTGAAAAAAAAAAAAAATTACAAATCGAAACATTGAAAAATTCGAATTAAAAACTCGAGAAAAAACGAAAGAAAAATTAAATATCGAAGAAATCGAAAAATTGAAAGAACAAGCAAAAACGTCAAAACCTAGGACGAAGGACAAAAAGGACGAAGGACGAAGGACGAAGGACGAAAAGGACGAAGGACGAAATGGACGAAGGACGAAAAGGACGAAGGACGAAAAGGACGAAGGACGAAAAGGACGAAGGACGAAAAGTACGAAGGACGAAAGGGACGAAGGACGAAGAACGAAAAGGACGAAGGGCGAAACGGACGAAAAAATCGACTTCCAAATTTTTCAATCCTCTATTTTCTTCAATTTTTCGATTTGCAAAACTGAAAAATTTTTCCATTTTTCGATTTTGCAATTCTTCAATTTTAAATTTTTCAATTAAAGAAAAATTAAAAATCGAACAAATCAAAAAACTGAAAAATTGAAAGAACGAGCAAAAACGTCAAAACCTAGGACGAAGGACCAAAAAGGACGAAAGACGAAAAGGACGAAGGACGAAAATGACGAAGGACGAAAAGGACGAAGGACGAAAAGGACGAAGGACGAAAAGGACGAAGGACGAAAAGGACGAAGGACGAAAAGGACGAAGGACGAAAAGGACGAAGGACGAAAAGGACGAAGGACGAAAAGGACGAAGGACAAAAAGAACGAAGGACGAAAAGGATGAATTACGAAAAGGACGAAGGGCGAAAAAACCAAGGACAAAGGACGAAAAGGACGAAAAAATCGACTTCCAAATTTTTTTTGCAAAACTGAAAAATTAGTACGAAAAATTGCATAATCTGAAAATTCAAAAGTTGGAAAATTGAAAAACTGAAGAACTGAATCTTGTAAGCTCGACAAATTGCATAAAGAAACAAAAAAAGGAAAACCTGAAAATTTGCAAACCGAAAAATTGAAAACAACTGAAAATTGTAAGAACATGAAACAGAAAAAATCTAAAATTGAAAAACTGTAAATTTTCACATTGAAAAAAGGCAACGAAAAATAGCAAAATTAAGAAAATAGAAAACCGAAACGAAAAATTACGAATTGAAAATTTGACGAAATAAAAAATTAAAGAACCAAAAATGAAAATTCGGGAAATTTTATATCTAAAAATGGAAGAAATAAGAAATGTTAACTATTGAAAAAACAAAAAAATCTAAATTGAAATATTGAAAAATCGAATAATTGACAAAATAAAGAAAATAAAAAAACAACACGAAAAATTGCAAAGCAAAAACGTGAAAACTTAAAATTGAAAAATGAAAAATTCAAAAATCTAAGGGTTAAAAAATCGAAAAATCGTTGATCGAAATATTTAAAAATTTCGCACTGAAAAAAGAAAAATTATAAAATCACGAAAAATTGAAAAAATAAAGAAAATAAATAAACCAAACGGAAAGTTGCAAACCGAAAATTGAAGAAATGATAAATGAAAGAATCGAAACATTGAAAAATTAAAAATTGAAAACTCGAGAATAAACGAAGGAAAAATAAAAATCGAAGAAATTGAAAAATTGAAATAACGGGCAAAAACGTCAAAACCTAGGACGAAGGACGAAAAGGACGAAGGACAAAAAGGACGAAGAACGAAAAGGACGAAGGATGAAGGACGAAAAGGATGAAGGACGAAAAGGACGAAGGACGAAAAAGACGAAGAACGAAAAGGAAGAAGGACGAAAAGAACGAAGGACAAAAAGGACGAAGGATGAAGGACGAAGGATGAAGGACGAAAAGGATGAAGGACGAAAAGGACGAAGGATGAAGGACGAAAAGGACGAAGGACGAAAAAGACGAAGAACCGAAATGAAGAAGGATAAAAAGGACGAAGGATGAAGGACGAAAAGGATGAAGGACGAAAAGGACGAAGGACGAAAAGGACGATGGACGAAAGACGAAAAGGACGAAGGACGAAGAACGAAAAGGACGAAGGGAGAAAAGGACGAAAAAATCGACTTCCAAATTTTTCAATTCTCTATTTTCTTCAATTTTTCGATTTGCAAAACTGAATTTTTTTTCCATTTTTCGATTTTGCAGTTCCTCAATTTTAAATTTTTCAATTAAAGAAAAATTAAAAATCGAAAAAATCAAAAAACTGAAAAATTGAAAGAACGAGCAAAAACGTCAAAACCTAGGACGAAGGACCAAAAGGACGAAAGACGAAAAGGACGAAGGACGAAAAGGACGAAGGACAAAAAGGACGAAGGACGAAAAGAACGAAGGACGAAAAGGATGAATTACGAAAAGGACGAAAAAATCGACTTCCAAATTTTTTTTGCAAAGCTGAAAAATTAGTACGA